TCCATTAAGAAAGCTACATCATGTTATATACACTGCTTGGCATCAGTAAGATTTTTGTCTTTTATGATCACCCAGGCTGCATTTATTTGATCATAAATACAGTAAAGACAGTAATATTGTGAAATAATATTGCAATTTAAACTATTTTCTCTTTGAAAATATTGTAAAATGTTATTTATTCCTGTGATCAAAGCTGAATTTTCAGCATCAGTTTTCAGTGTCACATGATCCTTCAGAAATCATAAAAATATGCTGATTAATAAACTTTTCTGATTATTATCAATGTTGAAAACAATTGTGCTGCTTCATATTTTTATGGAAACTGTGAAACTGTTTCCAGGAAGTAACATAATTTATATAAAATATAAACTTTTTGGTAAATGTCTTTACAGTCAGTTTAATGCATCCCTGCTGAATAAAAATATTAATTTCTTTTTATTTATTTATTTTAAATATGACTGACCTCAGACTTTTGAGCAGTAGTGTAGGTGCAAAGGAAATACAGAGATACACACATTCCTGGACAAATCTCCAGGAACAGCTGTTTGTCCTGAGGGAAGTTCAAGCTTCCCTTTAACAACAACAGAAGATGTGTGTAAACAGAGTGTTTATTCAACATTTTCTGTCTGCGGATACATTATTATTATTATTATTATTGCAGCTGGTCGCATTAACAATCATTTTAAATGTGCTGTTGTTGCCTTAAATAAATAGGAGTTATTTTTGCCCGATATGGTGCTGGATTCACAAAACATTATTACAGGGATAGTTCGCTCCAAAATTAGAAATCTGCCATCATTTACTCAACCCCATGTTGTTCCAAACCTGTGTCATTTCTGGAAAACAAAAGAAGATATTTTGAAGAATGTTAGTAACCAAACTGTTTTGGTTCCTACTGACTTCCATTTTATGGTCAAAGAGCATAATGGAAGTCAATAGGAACAAAAATGTTCTTCAAAATATCTTCTTTTGTGTTCTGCAGAAGAAATAAAATCATATAAGTTTGGAAAAACTTGAGGGTAAGTAAATGATGACAGAATTTTCATTTTGGGGTGAACTATGCTTATTAGAATAAAATTCTTCTTAACTGCAATTTTCTTTTCTTAAATAATAGTTCACTCAAAAAATGTCATCATTTACTCAACCTCATGTCATTCCAAACCTGTACGGCTTTCATTCTTCTGTGGAACTTAGAAGCCCTTTGTGCTTCTGTGATTCAACCTTGATATATGAAAAAAAAATAAAAATATACAGTATATATGGACAAAAACAGTTGATATATTCTCTTCTTTTGTGTTCATCAGAAGAAAGTCAGAAAAAAGATTTTTGGTTGAACTGTAGCTTTATGTTACAGGGTAAGTCATTGAAATAAATATAAAAAAAAGTGGTTTACCACATTTTGAGGTTACCTGACAACCTTTTTTTTTTACAGTGCATACTGAACATGTTGAGACTATGGGGGAACAAACAGTTTTAATAATTGCATTTAATTATTTTAAAAGTATTTTAGAATGATTTCAGTATCTTGAGAAAGACTGGCATTAAATGCTTGATCTCCACCTCTGTACTTCTTGAGGGATCCATGAAATTTCCTAATGCTCATGGTCATTGCACACATTTTGCCTGTCTCCTCCTCTTACAGGTGGTTTCGATGTGGACATTAAAGGCTGGGGTGGCGAGGATGTCCACCTGTACAGGAAGTACCTCCACAGTAATCTGCTAGTGGTGCGCGCCCCATCACGCGGCCTCTTCCACCTGTGGCATGAGAAGCGCTGCGCTGACCAATTGCCTCCAGACCAGTACAAGATGTGCATGCAGTCCAAAGCCATGAACGAGGCCTCGCACGGCCAGCTGGGCATGCTGCTCTTCAGACACGAGATCGAGGCTCACCTCCGCAAACAGAAACAGCGAAGTGGAGCTAAAAAATCTTGATGGACTTTTACCGCTTGTATACATGCTCTTAAAGGGATTGTTCACCGAAAAATGGAACATTCTGTCCTTATTTACTAAGCCTCATGACATTTAACGTTTGTTCTGTGGAAGCAGAGCTCTGGTTGTTCTTTTTGCTGTTTTTACAGTGAATATTGACTGAAGCTTCAAAAAAGATGCAAAAAGCACCGTAAAATCATTATAAAAGTGGTCCACGTGAAGCCCAAAATTATGTTCATGAGAAGAATTGAATTGAAGAATTTAATCTTTTTATTGAATCACAGTTTGAATGATTCGCTCTTGAAACAAAAATGTCTGTTTCTGTTGTATGGCTTTTGAAGTCTTGAAATGTAGTATAACATTAAGTACACTGCCATCCAAATGTTTGAAATAATTCTGATTTTTTAAATGTTTTTAAAAGAAGTCTCTTGTGCTGACCAAGGCTCCATTTATTTGATAAAAATACAGTAAAATACATTTATAAGGTTACAAAAGATTTATTTTTTAAATAAATGCTGTTCATTTAACTTTTTATTCATTAAAAAGTCCTGAAAAAAACTCCACAAAAATATTAAGCAGCAAAAACTACTTTCAACATTGATAATAATAAGAAACATTATTCATAATTGAGCACCAATAATAATTGATAAAGACTGAGAACCAAATCGGCATATCAGAATGATTTCTGAAGGATCATGTGACACTGAAGACTGGAGTAATGATGCTGAAAATTCAGCTTTGATCACAGGAATAAATTATATTTTACAATATATTCAACAAGAAAACAAGTATTCTGAATTGTAATAATATTTCACAATATTACCATTTTTACTGTATTTTTGATCTAACAAATTCAGCCTTGGTGAGCATAAGAGACTTCTTTTAAAAAATAAATCTTAATTATTCCCAAATGCTTGATTGTAAATCGCATGGAAAAGAGCATCCAGTACATTTTTCAGAAGTTCTCCTTTTATGTTCCACAGAGGAAACAATAATTTGACACTAGGGAGAGTAAATGTGACAGAATTCGTTTATGTTATGCATGAGAGGGGAAGTGGAAAAATTATACAGTACTGCCTTCAGTAAAGAGCCGGTTTTAGTCAAACTGACGCACACACACACATGCAAACCCAAACACAGAGATAACCAAGAGACGCCACAGGAACAGAGCAGCAGACAGACATTCCCTCAAGACAAGATAGTCAAGCGTGGGAGCGCAGTAAAGGACCTTCAAGTCTCTTTGGAGTGATACAATATGATCCACAGTATTATAGAGATGCAGCACATGATGTGTCTGTAATGCACTTCACCCGGTCAGTGGGTTACGCTGATAAACCGCTGTCTTTCAGAAAGCATTCTGTATTCTACCAACTGATACAGATGACATTTAGATGAGACACTTTTTATTTAGAATGCAAGTGAGAAAAATGCCTTATTGCTATTGATGTATAATGTGGGTACATACATTTCTAATTGTGAATCGATGAGTGAGAAGAAGATTGAGGGCTAATGCATGTATGTGCTGATAGTTCATGTGACGAGTGGTTCAAAGAACTGCAATTTATTAATGTTGTGGTCCCACCTTGTGGTGCCATTTATTAAAATGGACAGTGAGCTGATGGTTTTACAGAGGAACTTCATTATATACTCAAAACACAACACGTACTAGTTTTAAAAGAAAATCAAATTCTAATTTGATTTCAAAGACACCAAGAATTGTAATATCTGAGTGATATTTTGTATGACAAAGAATTGTGTTCGCAAAGAGTATTATGAGTGCTGAAGATTATCAGTATTTGTTAGAGGGTTTATTTAAGTGGACCCTTCCAAATACTTAGCTATATTTGTGCACAATTGATCATCTTCAGATTTAGCTGAATTTTATCGAAGTTCAGTCAGAATACAAGCCTGTCAGGTATAGCAAAGACTTCAGTTTTTTTATTTTTTATTAAGTGTGACATTTTTTCACCCTAAAACCTTGAAGCGTGTATGGTTATATATTCTTTAAATATATTGTTTTGACACGAATTCGCTCTGATTTATTGTAAACGAAAAGTCATTTAGATTTTTTGAGGACAAAGCAGAATAAAATTAAGGGAAAAAAGTAATTGATTTTCATACGTCATTTACTAAAATATCACCATTGAAAATGATGTGTCTAGATATTACCTCTAGATGGCAGTATTGCGTAACTAATTTAAATCTTCATGAACTAGTATCTGTTTGGCTTGCCATGTGATGATGTGTATTGGGAGTTTTGAAAATTTGAAAACTAGTTTTTAATTTAATCTTTTTTATTGATTTTATATGACATTGCTTGTGAAGAACACTTCATGGCTCAACAAACTAAAGATGTGTATTGTGATTTTAGAGTAAGACTTAACGAGTAGAGATTCAGCTGCATAATTTTGATAGCAAACTCAAATTGTGTTATGAATGCCATTTGAGTGTTCATGATTAGCATTTTTAATTAAAAAAGGACATTTTCTCAATATATAAACTACTTTTCCTGTTATTCTGTTGTTAAATCATTACTACATTAGTGATTGTTACATACTTTAAACACTGTAAACATAAGATCTTACTGCTCACTATTTATATTTCTTACAAAATGTTACATTTGTTACAATAAACTATTATTAGTAGTAGTAGTAGTAGTATTAGTAGTAGTAGTAGTAGTGGATTTTTCAGTAGCCGATACGAATAACTAGAGAGATGAAGAGAGATAAAGGCTAATACAAGTATAAGTATATATAAGTATATAAGTTTAAGTATATATAATACAAATATAAATGATATGCAACTACAAATATATGATACATGCTAAAATTAAATACTTTGCTCTTTCAAAATGTTTTTTTTTTTCAGCCAATATTTTTTATAGATTCACAACAAAAACAAACTGTTTATCCATAACTATTTGTTTGAGATATATTTTTTCTCAGACAGTCGTTGTCTGTATATTGATCTAATTATAAAGACGCATGGGCGTGGTCGTGGTGGGCGTGGCTTTATGCCGAGAGACACGCGATTGGCTGTAATGAGCCTCAGCTGTTGTCCGTCATGACAGCCAGCAGGAGCTCAGTAGTGTGTAGTCCGAGGACACTCGAGTCTATTTAATCGCATCGCCCGAAGCATCGCATACTGGCTCGCCATCGCTTATTCTTTACCTCATGCGTTGACATGGTGATCTTATCTAACAAGCTACAACCAAGCGGCTCGCTCTGTCTCCTCTCCGGCTGATTATTATTACGCGGTCAATGTTATTAAGAGTGTATGCGCTGGCGTTGGTCCCTGCAGCTCATTTCTCTTCCAGTTGACCACTAGAGGTGGACGCTCTGTCAGGCTGTTTACAGTGGGGAACACTGAGGACGCCTTAAATAAAGCCTTTATCTCCGTTACTGACCCACAGAAGGACACTGGCACGATGTTTGAAACGAGAGGAATCCCCTTTATATTGCTTGACATCGCATGCCTAATACTCGGTAAGCATTATTTTAAGTAGTCTCGCTTGTATTGTATGAATTGTTATAAATAGATGTTCCCTTTATTGTAATGCGTCTTAAAGCGAAGTGAGAGTAATTTATAACGCAGGCGTTAATAAGTGTTGTACAGAAAGATATTAATATATAAACATACTAAAGACGTATCTAGACATGTCAGTTGTTTTAGATACATGTTGCCATGCACGTCATTTAATTGCATGGGATTCTACATTGCAACAATGGTACTCACATGTTAACCACATGCGACACCCATAGTGTGCGTCATAGTGCGTACTGGAGCCGACTTGCATTTATCATGCTTTATCAAAATTTCCGTAATAACAGGGCGTTACCTTTATGCAGAGAATCTGTTATGCAAAACAATGAGTCAGGGTATAAGGGAACGTGAAACATCTCTGAAAACCATTAAAAATCCCATGAGAAACACACACACACACACACACACACACACACACACACACACACAAACACACACACACATATATAT